GGTCGCCTTGTCGTCGCCGGTACTGCCGCTCGCCGGGGACTACGCGACCGGTTTGTGCGTACCACTGTTGTGGGGGGCGCCGCTCGTCGCCTTTCTGAAGACCTCAGTGCGGTCCTCCCACCCCCGTGTGTACGCGGCCCATAGTACCGGGTCCGCTGTAGCTGTGCCGTGGTCATCTGGCGTACCCGTGCCGCCGTGGTGGTGTTGGTGGCCTCCTCCATACTGGCCGCCCTCAGTAACTACTGGCTACGTTCCAGCAACTCCGCTGCTTGTTGTATGGTGGTTGACGGTGCGGCCGGCCGTTGTTGGTCCATGGTGTGGCTGTTTTTCCGACTAAAATTTGTTAAATTTAGTTATGGGGTTGTTGGTGGGTGGGGTGGTGTAGGGCGAGGTTGTGTTGTGGTCGACCCCTGTTTGAAGCAGGACACGTGGATTTTGCGTGCTGTTGGTCCGTGAGGAACACGCCTTTGCCCACGCGTCTGTGTARCTTCACYGGTCCCCACCATTTCGGTGCGAAGCCRGCGTGAAATTTTTTGTGCGCGCTCGACAGGTGGTGTGCTTTRTAGTACACCATGTCACCTGTTCGGTATTTTGTGTCCGTCTGGCCCCCTGTTGCAGGTAGTACGTCCAGTACGGCACTTTCCCGTTTCGCCCTGTCCCTATCTGTGTGTTCTGTCTGGTTGTCCGCTGTCCGAGACAGAGCCCAGTCCCCGGGCTGCTTGCCCTCTCTGCCGAGGRMAAGTACCGACGGTGGGTATCCTGTCTGGTCGTTGCGTCTATTCCTGATTGAAAACAGTATGGGGGCTAACTTGGTGTCCCAGGTGTTGTGGTTCCCGTCGACGAGTAGCGCGCGTAGACCTCTTTTTATTTCCTGGTTGCGGCGCTCGACTGGGTTGGCGCTCGGATGATATACCGGCAGGGCTGGTTTTAAGGGGGGGGCACCGGTGGGCAATTGCCCGGGGGCGGCACACTTAGGGGGCGGCAAAATTATCACAGATAAAATAAACAAAAAATTAATTTTTTTTTTGTTTAAAGGAAGATTTCTAAAAAACCACATTTTATTATTATTTATTTTTTAAATTCACATATGGATACATTTATTTTTACCAATATTTTATCATTTTAAATAAAAAAAAATAAATGTTATTAAATAAGTAGGTAGGTATAGTGTAGTATTTTTACTAGTAAACTGTAAAACTAGGCGTATAGTATAATTGYGTTGGCCCGTATTGACAAATCAGGATTGTCGATTGTGGGAATTATCAAAATAAAACTATTTTTAACARTAGTCGACGAYTGATCGGCTTCTAAGAAATATGTAAAATGTTTAAATTTAGATTGTAGATAATAATAATTTTGTGTTGTTGAATGTTGACTGCTGAATAAAGATACCTATTGATAATTTATTTTATTTTATTTTGTCACCAWATGAAGCAAATCGTTSTATACTTTTATTATTATTGTGCAAGTACGAGTATATGTTTCCGTATATGTTTGACAGTTTGAATTGATACTTTGAATTTTATTCTAATTTATTATAAGGTAAGTTGATTTAGTTTATTATAAATTATAATATTTAATATATACGATTCAGAAGTTGTTGCAATTGTATATTGTAGTATTTACTTACGTCTTACCTACTAAAATACATTTGTGTCATTTCATATCATACAACTTGCTAAACTCTATATTATGTCAGTGACTATTACCTACATACTATGTACCTACATAATTTAAATCTCTATAAGTGAACTAATATAATAGAAATAAGAGTTTACTGTTTTTTGAATTGTTATATAAAATAAAATATTATTATTATTATTATATTATTTATAATAGTATTAAAACTTTCAACTTTATAATTGTGATATTATAAGGTTGTGCCAGTTAAGGTAGGTACACTACAATTACACAGTTTAGGTTCACTTAAATTACATTGTAAATCTGCATACAATTATTGGATATATTTATATGYTTATATATTTATACATTATACATATGAATTGAATGCAGTAATTTAGCCATAGTAGCAAGTAGGTAAATAATAATTAATAAGTAAGACTAGGTAAGTTTAATTGTGTCATAACAATTTTTAGTTGAAATTATACTTTAATGGCGCTAAAAAGAGTCAAAGCTAGTGGTGCCTGCAATCGTAAGGAGGCAAAAAAAAAGAAGGAAAAACTTAATGAAGTTATAAAAAAAAACAAACAAAATAAATACCATGTTTAAACTTAAAAGAGAAGATCATAGTGAGAACCATGGTAGCTTGGAMAATGTTGATCACAATATAAAGTAAGTTTTCGTTTATGTTTTGTGATATAAATATATAATAGATTATAATAATAGTAATTATAAATTATAATTTACTGTTGAATTTGATTATAGTGAGCCTTCCTCAGTTGAAGCTGTTRTTACWAGTGAAGAACATGATATTAATGACTCCGKARTGTTAGAAATACCAGGGTATGTATTTTATAATGTTTTATTTTTAATTTTATACTTATACAGTTATACAGAATAGGTAGGTACTTATATTATTTGATCTATAGATATATAGAATATATCGTACTATATTATTTTAAAGCCTTTATCATCTTAATAATAGTACATTAGAACATGTAATTTGTATTCAAATGTTAAATTACTCATCTATWATTAGATTATTGTTTTATTATCATTTGTAGGTCAGATCCAGCTGAATGGAAAATAAATTCATGTTCTATTGATTACATATGTCAAAATGGATTTAGCCAAAATTTAGATYCTAGTTTTAGTCAATCTAAACGAATATACCAGTCAGTTCTTAGAGGTTCATTCAGAAATATCAACCTCTATGTAAATAAAAGTTTTTTTGAAACATTTTTAGTCAATGGTAAGAAATGTCCAAGAAAATATCTAGTTTATTCACAATCTAAGGGTTCAGTTTTTTGTGTTCCTTGCTATTTATTTAATAATACTTCWGCATTTTCAAAAAATGGTTTCTYGGATTGGAAAAGGCCAAAATCAATAGACAAACATGAAAATTCACTTTCACATAAAACATGTGTGGTAAAAATGAAAAATAGATCTTCTGAATTGAACAATGTTAATGAAGTGCTTRCATTTCAATTAAAAACAGAAAAAATATATTGGAAAAATGTGCTCACAAGAGTTTGTGCTGTTGTCAAATCGCTATCTAGTCGAGGTTTACCTTTTAGAGGTGACAATGAGAATATTGGTTCGCTGCACAATGGTAATTTTTTGATGTGTCTTGAAATGATCGCAGAATTTGATCCTTTTTTGGCTAATCATTTGTCGAACTATGGTAATCCTGGGAAAGGTTATACTTCTTACTTGTCTCATTCAACATATRAACAATTTATCAAGTTAATGGCGACTAAGGTTCAAAATCAAATAGTTAAAGAAGTCATTAATGYRCAATATTTCTCCATTGTTATAGATTCAACTCCAGATATTGCACATGTTGATCAACTATCTTTTATACTAAGGTATGTAAACAACAAAGGTTTACCTGTAGAAAGATTTTTATGTTTTTTAGGAAATGTTGGACATAAATCTCAGTGCATGGCTGATACTGTGTTTTCTATCTTAAAAAAATATAATATTGATATTKCATATTTGAGGGGTCAATCAKACGATAATGCAAAGAATATGTCTGGTATTTACTCGGGTCTCCAGGCTAGAATTAAAGAAGTTTCCCCATTGGCTGACTTTGTACCATGTTCAGCACATTCCCTCAATTTAGTAGGGTCATGTGCAGCAAGTTGCTGTAAGGAAGCTAATATATTTTTTAATTTTATTCAAAGTATTTATACATTTTTTTCCTCATCTACTCATCGTTGGAACTTACTTAAAGTAAAATCCACATTRAAAAATCTTTCCAAAACAAGATGGTCCGCTCGGGAAGAAGCATGTAAAGTTCTAAACCAAAATTGGGATAGTGTTAAACAAAGTTTATGCGACATATCAGAAAATATAAATGAAAAATCTATCACTCAAAATGAAGCTCGTGGTTTACTTAGATTAATGAACCGTTTTGAAGTTAMATTTATGTCACTATTTTGGGGTGATTTAGTTCAACGTTTTAATGTGGTTAGTAAATATCTACAATCTGTCAATATTGATGTATGTACAGTGTGTGATCAATATATCTAACTAAACGGATAGGATTTCCCAAAGTTTATAATCTATACATCACAGATGCTGAAATATATTCCAAATTTTAGACGGGACGAGCTGTAGGTAAGTCAAAAATGATTTGAAACTTATAAAACGTAGGTATACCAAACATTAAAGTGAGTCATACCCTATCTCTTATTATAAAATTGGAAAAAAATATTCATTATCAAAGAAACGGGACAGGATTCCAACGTCACGATTGTGAGTATTTARGTCAACACTTAGACGGGACGGGCTGTAGGTAAGTCAAAAATGATTTTCATGTGACGCTGAAGATTCAAGTGCTGTCAATATTAAAGGTTATATATGTAAAAGTTGCAGCATGAAATAATAATTTATTTTTGTTATGAATATTATACATTATACTATTAATTAATAGGTAATAGGTATTACTTTAAATACCTATCTTTGTTTTTAATTACCTATTCTAGAATATTATATTTATTACAACAAATACAAATGGTACCTATTTGGTGTTACTTGATTTTAATACTAATTGTCTGCTATAATTTTTATATTGGAATTAATTTATGTTTATTACCTGTATGCAGTGTTGGGCAGTATCTTCGATACAAGTATCTAAGATACGTATCTTAGATACAATTGTATCTTGTATCGCGATACTTCAAAGCAAAGTATCTCGTATCTAGTATCTTGATTCTGCTTTTTTAGTATCTTGTCCTTGGAAATTATTTTTCAGTACCGATAAATCATACAATTATAAACTATTATTTATTATATATTAGGATTTAGGACATTATGTTATTACTAAAATTATTTTTATTATGTATTTATATAATTTTTAATGATATAATTATTATTATTTAATTGTTCTGTAATTGTATTGTGGTTATTATTGCATCATTGACGACAACGAGATTACGTTATGTCGTAATTTTATTGATTTGTTTTATTATTACTGAATAAGTGTCAATTTTTATTATTTTATTTGCCATATTTAACGAAAGTGGTCATCCCCATAATAATAAACTAATAAACATATTTTTTTTTTAAAACCAGTAACTAATTTCATTAAAATGTATCGAGTATTTTGTACCGAGTATTTAGTATCGCGATACTCCAAAGCCAAGTATCTAGTGTCTTGTATCACGATACACCAAAGCAAAGTATCTTGTATCTAGTATCTCGATACTGCTTTTTGTGTATCTTGCCCAACCCTGCCTGTATGATTTATTGTATCTAGTTCGTGGACGTACTATATAATATATTATAATATAATAACTAATAATAATTTAAATGTTACATTTCAGATTTTTTTTTGTTATGAATAATTTATTTATTATTATCTTAACTTTTATTTGAAATTTAAAAACCTCACATCTATATTGAATATTAAGATTTTATTACAATTAAATAATGTTTATAACTATTYACCTAATTTTATATACTTTTGAAATGTTGGTAAATTTAGTGGGGGAAACTTCTTTAATTCTAGCCTGGAGACCCGAGTAAATACCAGACATATTCTTTGCATTATCGTATGATTGACCCCTCAAATATGCAATATCAATATTATATTTTTTTAATGCATGAACACAAGTATTTAATTAGAATATAATATATTAAAAATAAGAAAAAATCAAAAAATTATACTTAAACATTTAGACATTATTAATACATTTATTTTATTATGATAGATTTTGASCAATACCTTTTAAAAAATCGTTTATACTGCGGTTTTMAAAATCATTACAGATTGCTTTAACTCTAGAAGCTGTGTCTTTATATTTTTTAAGTTTTTGTCTTGGTTCCGTTCCAGCCAAAAATTGATGCATTTTTAAACGATTCAGTTTTTCTTCTTTTTTTAGCGCTTCGATAAACTTCCATATCGAAGGATGGAGTGCATTTAATGTTGAATTAAATGAATTATGCCACCCTTCTACGGAATTGTTTGTTTTAGGAATATCATATTTAACGAGATTGTAACAATTCCATAGCTCTATTGGAAATCTGGGATTTCGGMGTTTTTTATTACGACATAATTTCCCAATCCACGTACTCTCAAAATAATCCAAAAAATCTGATAATAAGGTTTCATTTTCAATATAAAACTCAGTTTCCAAAATAGCTTCGTATGCATTAATTACCAAATGCGGAGGAACAAATGATAATGCATTTAACTTTTTAATGTTTAATGCGAAATTAGATTCTTCACGATATTTAATAGCTAATCCGCTATCTTGAATATGTCTCCATAGAGCTTGCGAATAATGAAAAAAACATCCATGTAATGACGTATTTGGGAACACCTTTTTTATTGCATTTATGGTTGAAACCTCGAAATCAAGCATAAAAGTTGTTGGTTTAAGTTCCAGTTTTAAGTTTAAAATTATTTCAAATAAACGGACATAARTTTCTTCCGTTTTATTTGGAAGGAGAGCGAATAAAAATGGCAAAACGTTACTGTATTGTATACCATGAATGGTATATAGTYGGTAAAAAATAGATGGCGCACTAGAGAATGTACCATCTRCATACCAATTGTTACAATTAGTCATCAAATTTAAATTTTCTTCTGTCGAATAAATTAAAATTCGCGGTTTTCCTGATTTTTCATCGTTACTGTCATATAACAAAAATGGCTTACCATCAATTGTTGTTTTGTACTCCGCAGGAATTACTAGCTCATCTAATGTTCTAGGATTTGCTGGTGCCATAATTTCTTTTTGACRAATACGTTGAATCGTTTTTTTCATTGAAGAAATTCCAGGTAATTTACTTGCGACAGATTCAGTTACCTATATGATAATTTAAACGATTATTCATTTTTTTTTATAATTAATAACTTAAATTTTCTATTTATAATATTTAGTTTAAAATAATTTAAATTAATTACCTCTTTCGACATAGTACTCAAAACTACTTGTGAACTCAGCTCTGTTTCTTTTGCTATTTTTTTCATATTTTCAATAGCCTGTTTTGCTTCAATTTTCGAACGATCCGGCCGATGGTTATGTTCACGCTTACTTTCTTTTGTTACTTCTCCCTTTCTACATGTACTCGACCCGGACATTTTTTACTATTATTTTCAATACAGCGCCAAATTGTTTTTTCATTAGTTGTGCGTTCTAATTTGTATAAATAGCCTTTAAAAATTAGCAGGTCTCGATTCTTTTCACTTTTAACGAATTCACACATTGTAAAAAGAAATATTTCATATAACACAAATTATTTAGCACTTAATTGTGTTACCAGCGCATGAATAAACGCATGCGCATGCATCTACTAAATAAGTATCAAAACTCGTATCGTATTGTTAGATTATAAACTCTTATCCGTGTTATATGTATTGTAATTGGGAATTTTGGCAATAATATTGATAAGTACAATAGAACGATGATTATCCGAATGCCTATTAACCGGACGTGCAAAAAAAAAAAAAAAGGTCTAATAATATTTTTGATTGCATTGAACAACTGTGGATATTTAACCAGACTAAAATATCACAATTTTTCAAACCTTAGTCCATCTATATTGATATTCGCTCCTAATTATCTTGCACCCAATTGTCATTGCGCCTAAAAGTCCCGCACCCAATTTTCCGCGCTCTATTGTCCCGCGCCCAATTTTCTGCACCCAAGTGTCGGCATACCCTTATTTATCATTATATCATATGTTCATTATTATTATTAATAATTTATTAATTACCAATTATTACTTATTGTATCACTGTATCTATCAATATTGTAATTGTTGAACTATTAATAGTTATACTGAAAGTTGTTAATAAAAAATAAAATAAAAATAAATTACATTATAGTATATTATAATAATTAATAAAGATGGTAAACTTAAATTTAAGTATACTCGTACAAAGTAAAAACCAATAAAATTAATTATATTAAAGCAATTTGTCAATTCATTTTTTAATATAATATAAATCTTTAATACCTATAGTTTAAATTTAATAATTTGATTGCCAATAAACAGCACCTTCGTTATTGAAAAAGTCTTTGAACAAATTCCTTACTTCAAACCCTTCAATATTTAAAAACCCTCCATTTCTAAAAAATTGCATCATATTGTCAGTTAGTGGTGATTGCTCCGTATCRTATTCGAAGAATGGTCGTTTATTTTTCTCCAAGTACCCCTCACGCAACATGTTGTGTAAACAGTAGGTTACCCATATTAGATCGTCAATTGTGGTCGTTTCCAAGTTGATTGGTTGATAAAAAATCCTAAAAATTTGGCTCAATAATCCAAAGCCGTTTTCTGTGACTCTTTTTGTGCACGACAAAGTCTATAATTGAACACAGCGTCTGAAGGATTTTCTCAAGAAGATTTCCTCGTGTATGGCTTCATAATGTATTTATGTAAACGAAGAGCTTTATCACCTCCAGGAAGTTGACATAGTTCTGAAAATCCAAATCTCCCATCTAAAATTTGCTGTCCCATATTTGACTTTAAAAAATACCACTATCGCCTTCTTCACCAAAAGAACCAATATCGACGGCAACAAATTTATAATTCGCATCCACCATTGGCAGAAGTACAATTTTACAATCAGGAAAATTCCATTTGTATGAAAACTTTGCTTTGGCTAGTGCATTTTTTATGATTGTGCTTAAATAGTTGTGGTTAATTCAAAAAGCTAACGATAATGATCTTATTGATTCACCGGTGGCAAGATACCTGTTTTAAAAATAATTCATATTTACCTTAACGTAACTGCTAATTTTTCTGCCGGTGTTATTGGCTTCTTAATTCGATTGCTTGATTGTAAAGTAAATTTTTCTTCCACCAAAGTTAGTAAAAAGTTAAATTGTTCATAATTAATTCAGAAATATTGACGAAATTTATTGTGATTGTTTATTAAATGTCGAATAATTAGTATTTAAAAAAATCCTTCACTTTCACTTGGTTTTTTTTTTCCTTTGGCGTTAAATCAGAAAACAAACTAACCTCATCCTCATCCTCATCCATCAGTAATAGGGTTAAAATATTATTGTTATTAAAACTAATTTATCCATGGTTTAATACTTGTGAAAGTACCTAGTACACACTTGAACAGAATTAAAACCGAACTAACAAAATTACTGTTTGTGGTTACTAAAAAACAATTTACCATCGGTCACGGCGACATGTCGCGCTTTGCAGACCGCACATAAATGAAAACAATACATATTATGATAGCAATATAACGAGAAATTCATAATCATATCTTACGAGTTATGAAGAGTATTGAGTTAAAGATCACAATGAAGCATTATTATAAGGGTTAGTGGGTTAGCCAATTATATAATTAAGTCTAAAGAATAATAGTATGAGGATGCATTATAAAACAATACAATATAATATCAGTTACCTGGTAACGTAAATATTCTCACGGTTCAACAACAACGAAAAAAGGTCCGTTTGTTGATTTTTAATTGTGCACGTTACTGTTTTTAAACTCAAAATATTACACATTTTTTTTAAGACCATCAAAACGTCAAGCCTAACAAAAAATGCAAAGCAGGCTCCTTAGTAAAGCATCATGGGAAGATATGCATCGACAGCACAGAAAAAATGTACATTACATTTTAAATCATTCTAAAGAAACAATTGTATTACGCTCAAAACCAGTAATGTTTGAGTTAAATAAAACATGTAACATGCAGAAACTCAAAATTATGTAATGATATTTGGCTTTTTCATTTGACGTTTATGTGCAAAATATTTCATTTAAAATTTGAAAAATCAATTTGAGATATGATTATAATATAAAGTCATAAATTATGTACCGTGAAACATTTCTAGCAGCCATTTCCAAACAGTATTTTTTCCAAAATGAAACTATGAACATATTTCAGTTGCTCCATACCCACCTCGTTTTACTTATGAATATAATAAGTAAATTAATTGAAGTCTCATATCGTAGTATATTAAATATGATTAATAGTTAGGTAGTATTTAAAATACATGTCTATTTCAATGGACAAGAGTACTAAAAGTCTAAAAATAAAACATTTTTTTCCTGATGCTTTTGCAAACTACTCGGAGTATTTCGATCTCTCGTATGTAATGTATCATTTATCATTCGTATCAAAAAAGATACTAAAGAAAGAAATCAAAACAATTTTTTGGCCACCTCTCCCCYCCTCCGAGTAATATAAATAAACACACATCATTGTAAAATCACTACATTCTTTCGCTCGGCTTAGAATCTATAATGAGAATGAGAACTGAGTATGTTTGATAAATCATCCTGTACATGATATATATTAATATTATGCATATTATTATTTAAGCCCTATCCAAGTATCTACTATATATCGTTCTAGATTAAAACATTACTGTATCCAGCAAACAGTCTGCATATTATCTTAATAAATGTATCATTAATATTTGTTATACTTGTAATATTGCCACGGCACTGTTGTTTCTAGATCAGAGATGCTAAGTCAAAAGTGGACAACAAATCACCCTCACTTAAAATTACAGCGTATTACAAGCCAGGAGTCATTGAGGGAAACGCAGCGAAGCTAACACAAATAGAAGAGGACAATTTTAAATTGGTTACAAATATTAACACCATTTATCGAACGCAGGTAGAAATAAAATGCATTAGATCAATATAATATATATCAATAATGAACATAACACCATAACTACATTCGAAAAAATAGATTGGTACGGGATTTTTCTGATAATTTTTTTATATGATCAAAAACTTAAAGTTTGCAGATTATTAATGCTTTTTTCAATTATTAACATTGGCTTAGGTAAGTATTTACCTAACACAATGTTATGATTACCACGGTTTTTTGACTGTGATGCTGCGCTATATTTTATATTGTGTCTTCATTTATATACAAATGACGACAATTTGTCGTTCCGTTCTCTGTAGGTAGTAGGTAAAAACCAAATGATGTTTCGTACATTAGGTGATTGTTTAGAAAAGAATATACACTTTAAATTAATATAATAATATAATTTACTTTATTAACTCTTAAAGTTATAATTATTTATCTGCGTAAGTACACTACTTAACTCGAATAAGTCGGCCACTGCCCACTGGACTGAACAGATGACAAGACCGATATACAGTCATCCTGTTGCGTATAAGCAAAAAAATAGATTAAACGACTACATACCCGCGTCTAGCGATTTACTATATTACAATTAACACAAAATATACTACCTTTATTCTAGGATAAATGTAGTGTTGGGTACATAAAAACAAGTTAAAAATGTAAAACTATAGTTTATTACTTTTAACTTAAAACTTTTTCTAGTGACTTTTAAAAATAATACGTTCTCAAAATAATTTGTACAACTATATTTAGTCATTTTTTTTACTTAATCATTGTAAGTACAATGATTTAATATATAAATAAACGAATATATTTAGATGAAACAAACACAAAATGCCTAAACCATGACAGTTAGTGTGTATCAGGAGGACATTTTACTCTCGAGTATAATGCGTGTGATTTTTTCTTGTTCCTTTTCTATTGAATTGCCCCTCCCCTCTAATCAAAAAAAGTTCATACAGGGGGTATTATATAGAAAAATTCTCTTAAATATAAATTTCATGACCGAAATCAATTATTAAAGCGAAAAAAAATGTACAAAAATAGTTAATGGAATAGAATAACATAAATTCGATAAATATGGTTCCACTACCATATTGAAACTTACACCATAGTTTTGTATAATATAACTCATATTCCATTAATGATTGATAATAATAAAATAAACTACTTATATACCTTTAATGTTATAATATCGGTTACATATCGGCAAGGCTGGGCAAGTTAATGATTTTTTTTAACTCAGTTAAGTTAAGTTAAATTAAAATCTAAATCAAGTTAATATTTAAAAGTTAATTCAAAATGTTCTATCAATTGAATTAAGTTAAGAGTTAACCAAAATTTAATATTAACTTTTTAACTCAAGTTAAGTTAAAAAAAGTTTCTTGTTTTCTTATAGGTAAAATTAAAATAATCGGTACCTAAAATTGTTCATGTTATTAGACAAAAGAACTATTACTACTTTATGTATGCAAAAGCTAACAGTACACATTTTGTTAGCATACTTATAACCTTATAAAATGTGTACCTACCAGCAATTTGTAATCCTACAATAGTTCACAAAATTAAATTAAATTAACTTAACTTGTTTAAATATAAAATTAACTCAAGTAATTAAAAGTTAATTCAAAAGCTCCTAAAGTTATTAATTAAGTTAATAAATATAAAAAAAATAACTTAACTTTAACTTATTAACGCGTTAATGCCCAGCCTTGCATATCGGTTACATATTGTTAATATAAGTGTGTACCTATCAGGGTAAAACCAATTGTCATAGATTAAAATTATCAAACAGTAGAATAAAAGTTCAAAATAATGAGATCGATATTATCAAGTTAAATCAGACAAAATTTAAAGAAAATGTTGCATTGCTGGATAGGATTGTTCAAGTGGTATGTAAATGTACCTATTTAAATTATTATATAAACCACAAAAATAAATTCTGCTGAAATGCAATATAATTTTCAATACTCTAGAAGCCTCAAGTCGACTTCAATTATATGGAAGAACATTACAAAAAACACATTCAGTTAATAATGTTAATGAGCAAATTCCCAGAGAGTTATAAGAAGAAAAAATATCATGATCCGCTTATCTTAAACACGGAAATACCGAAAGGAATACGAATTAAAAAATCAAAGTATAAGTCCTTTTACACCAGTGAAATTTATTTTCGTACAATTGGAGATGCATGCGATATTAATTTCATACCACAGATGTTATTTGGACATTAATGATTTGACGGAGAATAGATGGTTGGGTCGTATGACTATTGAAGTTTACGATAGCATCGTGCCCAAGACAACTGGTAATTTCAAAATGCTATGCCAGCAGCGGTCGGATGGACTCGATTACAGCGGAACACAAATCTTCCGTATCGTACCTGGGCTGTTTTGTTTGGCCGGTGACGTTGAGTACTCAATCGGACTTGGTGGTTTGTCGGCCACAAAAGGTGAACGGTATTTCAACGATGAAAATTACTTGCTCAGCCATAACGCACCAGGTATAATCGGTACTAAAGTTTTCCACTAAAAATTACCTTTCCGTTTTTCATGGCATAGGTACTCTGTCAATGTACAATTTTGAAAAAAACGAAAACGCTTCACAATTCATGATCACATTTAAGCCACTGACAGTACTAAATGGTAGACATGTCGTTTTTGGTAAAGTCATTGGCGGTATGAGAACATTAAGATTCGTGTGTATCTATTTGACTAAAATGAACAAGAAAATGTATGTGATTTAAAACCGTACGTWTTTTGTTATTTAGATAGAGGATTTGGGGTTTGTAACTGGTAAACCAAAACACAAAATCGTGATAAGTAAATGTGGAACATTCGACAACTGTTAAACATGTACATGAAGTTTGTATCCAGACTTAAGTTTGATCAAATTTATGCTAATATTATCCAGCTATGTATTTTTATTAATATATATTATATACATGTGTTTTTATCTAGATAATTTTATCGCAAAAATTTGTTTTGATATGAAGGGTTAGATTTATTATAACTCAATTACAAATATTTATGTAGGTATTTTATTGATTATTGGACATTATGTTGAGCGATTTTTTTTTTATATCTCAATTTAAAAATATGTCATTTGTGTCAAAATTACTCCCAATTAAAAATGTAATAATGACCATCATGTATTTTTAAACTCAATGGTATTTTTTTTTGTATTTTTTGAGCGTAATATATTTAACAAATTAATTAATATCAAATATAAATTATAATTTTTTAACTGATAACATTATACTAATAAATAATTTTGTGGTAAATCTCCCAAACAGGAGAAAAGTTATAAAATAATTTTTTTTTTTGGTACAAATATAGAAAATATTTTATAATGTAGAGATCTCGTCGCCAAAAGGTATCAGGAACCAATGATGATGAGTAGGGCTAGGATGTATATGCAATAAAAAATTGTAAAATAAGCATTTTATTTATCAAAATATGCAAAAATAAATTTTTATTATTATTTATTATAATTCATAATTTATTATTAGCTCATATTATTACATTAAATATTAGTTTAATTAGACGTAACTTGGCACTTTCACTTTGAACTTTCGGCATACTGGACACTGTTAATTGTTATTAAGACCATTCAAATTATTTAGTATAAACGTCCGCACAAATTTACGCAACACACGACGTACTAATCAATAAAATTATTCTGTGCTGTCTCACTGTATAACAATGTGGAAGTAATTCTACCAGTCGTTCGACCAACGATAAGGTAACGAACAGATATTATCCGACCTAAGATAAAATAGGTAGTATTTATGCTATATATTTACGAAAATTCAACGGATAAACCAAAAACTTTCGGTTTCGTGAAGTACCATTTAAAATTAACAATAACTTATAAAATTAAAAAATGTTAGTAAAAAAATATCAAATTCTAAAATAATCTATGAATAGTAATTATATGCATTATGTCCAAAATATGCAAAAAAAAAAAAAAATGGTCTTATTTAAACGAGAATAAGCCAAATCGTGGACAAATCTGACAACCAATCAATTTGGACTTAAGGAAAAAAATATGCAAATTCATATAAATCCTAGCCCTAATGATGAGTAAGGGTTTTTTCTCATGTCAGGCATCATATATTTAAAATTACAACAAACATGTAATTCATACAACAAAACTAAATAAATAATATCAAGTAAATAAAAAGTAGAACTAAATAAAATATGAATAATAGTAATAATAATAATAATAATATCAAGTAAATAAAAAGTAGAACTAAATAAAATATGAATAATAATAATAATAATAATAATAATATCAAGTAAATAAAAAGTAGAACTAAATAAAATATGAATAATAATAATACACTAATATTGGCAATACAGATTAACACTTGGAGCGCTAGTATCTGATAAAGATGTCGGCTCTAGTTGGGATACAAAGATAATGATTTAAGATGAATGTTGTATATAGATTCGTATTTCGTACGTTGTCACAGTGTTTGAACTATTAGAATAATATAATTGTTTGTCATTTTTCTTTATATTGTAACTTGCTCTAAGTACTTATGACTTAAATTAATATTAACCAGTATTAGTTGTGTTACAATTACCAAGCATAATAACTAGCTGCAATAAGAAAAGTAACACGTATTGCTCSGTTTATGKTTGCTCAACATTTTATAAATATGGAAGTGATATAAGTTTTCATTTATTACCAAAAGAGAATAGTAAGAAAATAAAATGGGTTAATACAAATGGAACTTCACAAATGGTCGATTGTAGACAAGCTTGGATTTTAAGACTACGTATGGATACTGTTAGTTTGAAAAAAACTCAAATTAAAATATGTTCAAAACATTTTGTTAAAGAAGATTTCATATTACCTGGCATGTTAAATATTTATTATTATTATATTCACTTTGTACTTATAAGTTATATTCAAAGTATTACAAAATATATAAATGTGYACACAATGTTTAATTCCATTTTAGACTTTAAAGTATCAAGAGCTAGACTGACACAAAAAGCAGTTCCATCACAAAATCTACTAAACTTATCAATTAAGTCTAAATCTTCCTTAAAAAGGAAATCGCCTAAAAAAACATTTCTGTCACCCAGTGCAGACGAACTGGAGGTAAATACTCTTATAAAAACTAAAAATGTAGTTGTATTCAATTCTGTAAATAACCTTTATTTTATTTACTTTAGTATGATATAAATATGCCTAGTATTCATAGGTTATTTATTTAGGTATTTAACATTGTTTAAGAGGACGCTACACACGTAAATATTGAGACCAAAAACAAGGTCCACGCGAACACGTTTTATCAGAGCTATATAATCACCCTAGGGATTCAAAATTTTTACACAATAAAGAAGACAACTATTTCTATGACGTAAGCGTTTTTATTTTTTTATTAAAATAATTAGGAAAGGAGTTATTAAAGCTCAAATATGTATGATATTATATGTTTTAAAAAAGCTTATAAAACTACATTGAGTCAAAATATGAAAAAAATAAAAACACTACATCACAGATAAAATTCTCCCCAATACATGTGAAAATTTCATGAATTTATTATAAATGTAGCCAGTGTATTTTATGTTCGCGTAAAACAGTTTTTAACAATGTTTTATGGTATTTCAATACAAATATTCGTCATTAATTTTAGCGCTGTTCCCGATGCTAGCGTTCGTTCAGTAAACTAAACCTCAACCCCCACTCCACTGCCAAAACAACTGTAACCGGTACGGCGACGACGCGTCGCCGTTATCGGTAGACATTGATATTATATAAAAATAATAATTATTGCAGTTCGAAGAAACAACCAGAAGCCAGATAATCTTAGATTATCGATTATCATTAGTTGTTTTTACATTATTCACAGTTCACACTATTTTAGCCGTCCATTATAATATGCAATTATTTATTCAAAAAATATGAGATCACACATTCATACACTAGAGAAAATTATAATAAATAATATACATCAATACTATATTCTTAGGCGGGCTGCACACTGAAGAAACTTGTTTTAGAAACTAATTTCATGAAATGTGAAACTTTAATTTCATGAAACCATTCAATTGAAAATCARATAGATACGCACACTGAGTTTCATGAAACAAAAATTTCCCATAGTTGCGCAACCACGGTTTCATGAAACTTGTAATTTTGGTTTTAACAATAAAGTTTCGTATAAATTATACGAAATAATATAATTAGGTACCTATTTATCATATTTTAATATATATATTATATACACTATACACTGTACCTTGTATATACAGCATAGCAACAATAGTAAATAGTATTTATCGTACTTATTGAATATTATTTATATACGACATAAAAATCCCCATAATAATCTTCATAGTAAATAAATCCCCATAAAAAACGTTAAAAAAAGAAACGTTATCGATGTTTTGACCAATAGTATCTTTGTTTTTTTTTTATTTTATACAAAATATCGTTTGTGGACTCGTAATCTACAATATTATTATTTAATAGCATAACGTACGTCATTCGGAGTAGTGACTTGAGTTCACTTTAGTGCTAGTGAATAATTAAATATATAAGTTCGATATTAATTGATTTTATATATTTTTATTGTTATCTAAATATTTAAATACGATRTCGAAAGGAGAACGAGATTTTAATTCAAAATTAATAGAAGCAATCGAAGGATACGTCTGCTTGTACAATTACAAAAACAAGGATTAWAGAAATAGAGATAAGGTCGACYTGGCCTGGGAAAATGTTTCAAAGGAGGTAGGACGAACAGGTTAGTAAACAACTTTGAAATAACTYCGATATATATTTGTTAATATCCAATTCCAAAGGCACACTCAACTGTCTTACGACCTAAAGACAGCCTAAAATTGAAAACTCGTTGCTTATCTGTTAAAGAGCTTCTAGGATATGGTCGCATAATATATRTTTTAAGAGGGAATGCCTCATCTGCTGAAAAATAATAAGGGAAGCTGTGTTCGTTTTCGYCAAGTGGTAATGGTTCTGGTGGTGGTAAATTAAGACCATCAGCTTGCAACCATCGACCTAAACGAGATGAACGAAAAACTCCCCCATCGCTGTTTCTACCAAGATCGCCTACATCAATAGTAACAAAACAACCATCTGCATCTRCACACGCCATAAGTTGAACAGAAAAATAACCTTTGTAATTTAAATTACGTGAGCCAGTATTTCCAAATTTTTTAATTCTTATGTGCTTGCCATCAATCGATCCCAAACAGTGAGGCAAACTCCATAGTTGTTGATAACGTGCTGAAATGTTTTTCCATGCATTTGTATCTGGAGCAGGTAACCATTCTGGATGTAAACAGGTCCATATAGYTTCAGTTGTTTCTGCAACAGTCATACCAATTGTTCTTTCACCTCTTACGAAGTAGTGAGCCAAAGCTCTAAAGCTGTCGCCTGTGGCCAGATATCTGAAATAATATAATAAAAAAATGTTGTGAATTTTTAGGTTAACAAAATAAACAAATTTTCTTGTTTTTTACGATTTAATAGAATATGTACTGATAAAAATACTCATAAAATAATATAATTAATATTGATTTTTATAAAAACTCCAATTCTTATAAATATTGCTCATAATTAAACAGAGTTAAAAAATTCAAATCAAACACTCATTTGTATACTGCCTAGCAGTTAATAGAATTGTTTTCTCTTTGTTGTAGCAAAAGAGTGCAAGGAATCGTGGAGAAACTTAAGAATAGTTTATACACGTGCTATAAAGAAGCCACCTTCTGGATCTGGAGTGAATAATAAAAATAAGACGTGGTATCTTTCAGAAAATATGAGTTTTCTAAAACCATATATTAATATTACTTTGGACAAATCATTACCCGGAAATTTACCATCACCACCTAACAACGAGGAATTTYAAGAATTTGAAGAAGAAAACCCAACCGAAATAAACAGATCGGATATACGCAATGACATTGAAAATCCCACATACGATGTTTCGTCTTGTAGTATTAGTRCAGATACTACCAAAACTACCAGCCA